AGAAGGCTGGCGGTTCAAACCCACCAGCCACTCCTCAGAAGGAAGATGGGGCAATCTACTTCCGTAGTGATACTGCCTTGGAAACTCAAGGAGGGGTCGCTGTGAGTAGGGTCTGACTCGACGGCACATAACAACAGCAACAACAACAGTGGGTGAGCTGGGTTTGGAACCCAGATCAGTTTGATTTTAAATATCCACAACCCTCTTTCCTCTAGCCTTCAATCCTATGTTCTTTTTCATTTATTAAATTGAGCTAAAGTTCACTGACCTGCTCAGAAGGACATATCGTATGGTGGGTTGAGGACAGTAGCTATGCAGGCACAGATATTCTATGCATAATTCCCTTGATTAGATCTTATTGTCACAATAAGCAGGTGCTTGTTGCTATAAATTCAGAAGTCAGGGAGACTGGTTGGGGTGATAATTTATTCTATTCATTTTTAGGATACTCTTAAAGCTGATACTTTCTGAGCTACCGAATACAGGACGGTTTCCAGGATGAAGTGGATTTTGAGCTGGGCTGGAAAGGACCTGAGGGGTGGAACGCCAGAATGGTTATTTCAGTATCCAGTACGGGTGCTTTCCTCAGCCAGCATCAGTCTTGTGATTGGAAACTCTCTGCCCATACAGAGCGTTATTTTACAATTGGGTTGTAAAACCAAGGGCCTGTATATCTGTGGATTATGTATCTGGTAGTTTCAGGAGCTGTGTCCTGGCTTGTTTCCAGAGTAGGTAATTCCATCCTGCTAAGCTCCAGTTGACCACATTGCAAGAGCCTGGACACAGAGTTCTTCCCTTTGCAGTAAATGAATAAAAACATGTGAGCACTCAGGACAGTGTCTGTGCTTACCAAGTGCTCAATTAATGTTAGCAAATATTGCATTCCCTAAGCAGCCAAGAACTTGTAACTCTTAGCTTTAGAGGTAACTTGAAGGGTGGTCTGCAAGACTCTGCTTTGTCATATAAGGCAGCCCATCCCTTGTTGAACAGTTCAGTTAGGAGGAAGTTGAACAAGGCTCTTCTTTGGAACCTACAGGATGTATCTGTACCTTCCCTGTGTCACAGCTCTCCAGAGGTGGTACAATGTCTAATGATACTAAACTTGGCAGTTATGATTCAGGAGGATCTTGCCTGCTTTGGGCTATGTTTAAGGCTACAAATAATGGAATTCAGTAGAAATAATTTTGAGCTCCTGCTTTTAGTCCCTAAACCAGTTGCACAAGTACACCATAGGGGAGATAAGATATAGGAGCAGTGGGTGAAGGGAGAGGGGCTTAGAGGAGTTTTGGATCATAAATCCACCTCTGAGAGTCGTTTCTTGAGGGTTGTGGACAAACCAGAATACATTAATAAGAAGTGGGGAGAAAGATGATGTGAATTCTGTTTAGTTTGGAAGACAGACAGCCAGGGGCCTGGGGCAGCTCCTGTGATATCTAAATGGATGTCTTGGAGAAATTAGTTCCTCCAGAGAGGAATAGACCCACAAGGGATGGATGGTTAAAGGTAACCAGGAGACAGGTTTTAGCCAGATAGGTGGAAGAATTTCAGCATGTCAGTCTGAAGAAGGGTGGTACTGAGGTAGTGAGTTCCCTGTTATTGGTAATGTTCAAGTGTAGACTGTGATCAATTGACGAGAAATTTTTGAGTGAACTTCAAGCATTGGATGGGGCTGTTGATGCGTTTTGGTCTGGAGACTGTGAAACTCTTTAATTATGTGGTAGTGTTCTTTTTAGCTAACCTAAGTGGGAGCTCTGGTAGCATAGTGGCTAAGGCACTTGACTGCTAACCAGAAGGCTGATGGTTCAAACCCACCAGCCACTCCTCGGAAGGAAGGTTGGGCAATCCTACTTCCGTAGTGATACTGCCTCGGAAACCCAAGGAGGGGTCGCTATGAGTCAGGGCTGACTTGACGGCACATAACAACAACAACAACAAGTGCTCCTGGAGTCTCTGGGTGGTATAAACAGTTAATGTGCTCTGCTGCTAACTGAAAGGTTGGAGGTTTGAGTCCACCCAAAGGTGCGTCATAAGAAAGGGCTGGCAATCTAGTTCCAAAAGATCAGACATTGAACACTCTTAAGGAACACAAGTCTACTCTAACACACGTGAACTTGCCAAGAAGCAGAGTCAATTTGACAACAGCTGGTTTAGTTTCTTTGTTTGATTATGCTCCCCTGGTCCTTTCAGCCCTCACTGTCCTGTATCCCATCCCTCTACTATCCTGACTGAGTACTGGGTACATACAGTATCTGTCTTAATTGTAGCTCCCTGAAGTGAATTCATACTGTGGTGAGCTGCGCCGAATTCAATAACTGGTGTGTGTATGTGTGTGTGTGTGTGTGTTGTGTTGTGTTGTTTGAGAAGGTTTGGGAGAGAATAGGTGGAATCACCACTGCTCAGAAAGTTCACTTAGTCTCCTAATTTCTTCAGTGAACACTTTGGAGCTATAACAGTTTCTAGGGTAGAGTACAGTTCAGCTTGAATTTTGTAAGACTCTTGGATCCCAACAAAAAGTATAATAGTTTGAAAACTCAAATGGCCCACACTGCAGGTATTGTAGAGTTCATCAAGAGGTCAATCATGAAATCCTTTCTTGCGGCATAAATTATACGTTAACATTTGTCAATTTTTAAAGTCCCGTGTAAATGTACATGTGTTGGTAAGAAGCAGTAAATATTTTGCCAACAAGTTCTTTGAATGATGGATCAATGGCAGCGTTTTCAGGCAGACAACCTGAGGGTTTCTTCTGTCTAAGTGCTGCCAAATCTAAAAAGATGTCAGGATAAGACGCCGAAAGCACTCACTAGTTACACCATTAATTGTGTAATGTTCACGTACCTCAGAGTCTCTGCACCTGGGAATTGGTTGATATACACAGGTGGAGGAAGGCAGGGCAAGGAGGTATAGTTGGAAGAGAGAAGGGAGGAAGACAGGTTGTTTGAGGTGACTGCCCTGGAACATGGAGCAGTTGCTAATGCCGTGTGGGGCTGCTAGCACCTGGTGCCCCCTGGGTGCCTTTGCAGTAACGCTGCACCGCATTGGGGCGAGGGGTGAGGGAGGAATCATGAGCTCCTAAGCTCTCCTAACTCAGGCTTGTGCCGCCCCCTTTCAATCAGTCCCCAGGAGCAATTCTCCCTTTTTTGGGGGGGAACCTTTGAATTCATGATCTGATGCCTTTTCAACAAAGGAATATTGATATGTTGGTGTGCTGGACAGCAGGGAGTACTGGATTAGATCATTTTCACATTGGTGTTATGCCAGTTTGACATTTGTTTTGAAAGCTTATTGCTTTATGACCTTAGGTTACATGCATAATTTAAGAGAAATAAATATTTGAGAAAGATTTCTTTGGGTTCTATAATCTTCAGGGCTACAGGGAAAAGAAAAAGAGAGGGGGGGAAAAAAAAAGAAACACTCTCCCACAAGTATCATGTGATGAGAAATTCAGAGTAGGTTAGGAGAGGAAGGTACCCCATGTGGGTGTAGTACATTTCCTCACATGTATTAGGCACTTGTGATAGCTGTTGCAGGGAATGCCGGAGTAAGGACAACTTGGCCCCTGCTTCAAGGTTAAGTCTAGGAGTTCAGACTGGAAAGGAGACCTGACTGAACAGGGAAGAGCCCAGAAGGGACTGCTACAGGATAGTAGACCCAGGTCAGCTGGCACTTGCTGTCTCTGTCGAATGAGTATTTGTGACAGCAAAATTGTCTTCATCCTTCCATCCCTATCCTTTACCATCTTTCATCTTGGAGTTAGAAATATTGGGATAGTTTGACATTTCAGAGTTAGGATGCCACTTGCCACAGTGAGGAGGGCATCTTTTGTTTTACTTTATTTGCTTGTACACCTTGTTTTATTACCTGCATTTGATTTTCATCGAGCAAAGTACCCCTGGTAGATAGTAAAACCAGTTACTGTTGAGTTGATTCCGGTTCATGGTGACCTGACGTGTGTCAGAGTGGCATTGTGCTTCATGGGCTTTTCAGAGGCTGAAAAGGAAATAGCTAGGTCTTTCTTCCAAGGTATCTCTCGGTGGACTTGGACCACCAACTTTCTGATTAGCAGCCAAGTGTTTAATTTGTTTGCATGCTTAGTGAATGGTTTTTGCATGATTTGCTGCAAATTGCAACTGAGAGTGAGTACTATTCTCGGATGAAAATTTCCTCTCATCTGGGAAGGTGATCTGACTTCTGCCTGCCATTGCATTTCTGTATGAGTGCTTCCTAAGCATTCATAGAGAACAAAACCCACATGGAACTCAAAATTCCTTATTCTCTGCTGGAAATTACTCTCCAAGTAAAGTTGGTGACTGAAGAATTTGCATGAGAATTAGCAAGAGCGGTATGTTTGTGGATACCATGTCCTTATCATACTATCTTGTGATTTTTCTTTTAGGTTTATTTTCTTGAAAAGGCTCCAGGCTTCGGCTTGGAAAATCCAACCGCCAAAATTGAGCCCAGCAGCTGGAGCGGCAGTGAGAGCCCTGCCGAAAACATGGAAAGGATGAGTGACTCTGCAGATAAGCCAATTGACAATGACGCAGAAGGGGTCTGGAGCCCCGACATTGAGCAGAGCTTTCAGGAGGCCCTGGCTATCTATCCACCATGTGGGAGGAGGAAAATCATCTTATCAGACGAAGGCAAAATGTATGGTAAGTTGGCCAGGAATGTTCATTTAAAATACCACAATCTGCTTTGAAGGAGGAGTAGCTTGCAGCTGACCTTCTGCTGAGATCCGTTCATTGTATTAGGTTGAATGATATTTGTCTGTAGAATTTTTAGTTTGTCTTCTGGGAGCTTAAACCTCAACCAAAGGGAAGAATAGATAAAGGGCCATTGGAAAATCATTCTCTGGGGTTTCCTTCTCCTTTTATGTACTCAGTGGTATCGTGTCAGAAGGTTTCAAGGTGCAGGTAGGAATATAGATGGTTGCAGTGACATATGCAGATACGGAGTTGAGGGGACCAGTTCCCCAGAACAAGCCCCATCTCAATGAAGCTCTGGTTTTAGCTGCAGGTAACTGGTGCCACACAGGAATGGACACCTGATGTTGCCATTGATCTCCCTTCTCCCCTCCAAGAGCCAGCAATCTAAATGTTTATATGAAATTGACTGTTTTTTTCCCACAACCCAGTACAGGCCAGATAAAACATGGACTTGGGCTTGATTGGACCCTTGAACCACCATGACCAGTTTGCTGCTTTGCTGCCAGTTTACAGTTGAATAGCCTTAGTAGGCATTAACCCCATAGGATACTTTTGCTATTCTATGAGAGGGCATCCTGCAGTGTTCTGAAAGAAACTCCAGGAGTGCCAAGGAGTGTGAGACTGGTTGACCAGATGGTTTGAGATGTCAAAGGCAGCAATGAATTCCCATCTTCTAGTGTGGGACTGTGTGCTGAATTTGGGCAGACCCAACTCGTCTAAATACTTGTAGCTGGAGAACTGTACTTTTTGGCTGCTTACTTTTTGGGAGACAGATGGCAGGTGGTTGCTTGTCTGTTCTGCTTGTCTAATTGGGCACGTTGACTTACAGAGTTTGCACTGTAGCTAAATCTAAAGTGGTGCAAACGTATAACCTAACCTCAAAGAAAACTGGCTCAGCAACCTACCTGAGGTTGTTAACTTATCATGGGAGTGATTTATTTCTAAATAATTTGAAAGCTTCTCCATAATAGGGTGTTGTGCCTTTAATACTGCACCTCCTCTATCAGGAGCCGTAGGAGGCTGCAGCCCAAGCTAGCACACACGGCTAAGGAGAAAGCAGATGGTGGTGCAGCTGCCACCAGCTGTGCCCCCACTCCACCCTCCCCTTCTCCAACTTGGATGATGTAATGGAAACAAGGGAAATTTTGCTTTCTGCAGCATTGGCGTCTCTCAGCCTGTCCATGTCACATACACAGGAAAAAGAGAGAGAACCCAAACCTTCAGCATTTGTTGTAAGCTTTAATAAGTTCCTTTGTAGCCCCAGAAGCTGCTTCTCATATCTTGTGAAATAGACTTGGGATGAAACATCTCAGCTGCTGTGGGAAAAGTTTTAGGGCCTTAGTTTTCTAGTTTGTATCTTTCCTTATTCTGAGAACCCTGAGCCTGATATTTTCCTCAGCCTGATATTTTCTTTCACGGTCTTGTCTCCATACCTAAAAAAAAAATGCTACTTCCCCCTTTTGAGAAGGCGGAGAAAAGCATTTTAATCTTTGAGACCTCTTTGAAGACGATTTTATGATAAGTAGTGAAGAATGACTTTAGGATACTCTAACTTGTACATTTAAACCTTGGTTTTGCTTTTTGTTCCATTGATATTTTACGTTTTGGATAACAGCCATGGTTGATTTAACCCACTTGCATATAATTCAATCATAAAAAATACTTTCTTAGGAAAATAATTGTTTAGTAACCCTTGTTGGCAATTGCGTTTCAGAGAGAGCAGACCAGAAAAGGGAACAATGGACTTGAGAAGCTTTGGATTTCAGTTATCTGCCAACCATGAGCTTAGACAATTCTTGCCCTTGGCCTGAGGTCTCAATTTTCTACTGTGTAAATAAAGAGGATTACGTAGATGATGTCTATGGATCCCTTGGAATTGTACATTTCATGGTACTGTAATTTTGTGACTTTTAATTCAGCAAGAATTATCAGGCATTTGACAAACATGGTGCTAGTTGTGTGAACTTGTTTTTAGTTCCCAGGATAACTCATATTCTGAGTGCCCTTTGAGAGCACCTATTCTTGATATGTGGATTTTTTCTCCTTAAATCAGTAATACACTTACTGACTGCATTGCTGGCCAACCTGATTTAAAACAGGCAGTCCTTTTGAGTGAGCAACATTAGGAATTACAGCTCATTTGAGAATGGTAGTTCTGTTCATTGTGGGTTTTTCATGGGACTGAGTACCTAGCCTACAGGATCATATATCCCAGTTGGAGGTACATGAGGTGCATTCCAAGAGAATGCACCTCCAGGAGAAAACGTCTCATTCAACTCCTTCTCTTTGGCTAAGATGGGAGAGCTCTGCTTCTACTTTGGAAGGGAAACATGGTGGCTAGCAGGACTCTATGAGATATAGAGACTAGACCCCCTTAAGAGAAAATGCCTTTGGTGCCTGTGAGCTGTCTTTTGACTTTGAGGACAAGAGAGGGTAGATTTGGGAGCTTTCCCAATGAGCCCCAGACACTGAGGGATTGAGTCATGCGAGCAACATGGACCCAGAGCTGCTGTCTCTTGGCTTCTGGCTTGCTCACCGTCTTATTGCATGTGAATAAGGATGAAACCAGACCAGGATTCGGAGATTGCCTAAGGTCCCAAGAGCATACTTTTTTCCTGAGGCTTTTGAAAATGAAAATGTTGAAAGTATTTTGGATTCCATGTAGAAAAATCAAAATAATTTAATGCCTTTTAGTGAAATACCAAGTGTTTTTTGACTTGAGAGAGTTATTCCAATATTTCTGAGCATTTTTAGAGTGCATCATGATGTCACTAATCCTGAGCCATTGGAGAAGCAAGGTCAAGTGCAGTGCTGATTTATTTGAGTAATGAAATTTCCTTCATGGTAGGCAGTAGGGCAAATGCAATCTTATAGAAGGGAAAAATGGAAAGCTTTTTTTATGATGAGGTTTGGATCATTAGAGAGATATCTTAATTCTCTTTTTCTGCTGCCTTGGTCTGTGGGAAACCTGAGACTTGTTAAAGTCAGTCTCCATGTGGATAGATTGCTCCTGCCTTGGACACTGTTATGTGGAAGCACTTCTTCTCATAGATAATTAGAAGTGAGTGAACTCTTCTTTGAATCTGTTCCTAAGAGCATGCAGGAGCTTGAGAAGACAAGCACTTGCTCTCTGTCTTGTCTTTCATTTCATTTCTTTCTTTCTTTCTTTTTTTTTTTTTTAAACCTAGAGGTGTTTCTCTTCTGGTTGGTGGTAGGGGAGGAGATAGCAGGAGGTCAGTGTGGGAGGGAAATTCTTAATCAACAAACTTAACTGAAATTCGATTTTAGAGAACAGGGTTTAAAATATGATGGAACAAAGCAGTCAACCATGGGAATTGTCTCATGTGTTTTGTGGCAACTGAAAACCCCAGTCTGGCAATATGGTCACATGTCTCCCTTAATCAGACCAGGGGACAGGACTTTATTCTGCTTGTTGTAGAGGGAGAGATGTGTAGCATTTAACTGTGGATCCTGGAATTGATGTGCATCCTGTTCCTGCCACTTCTAGATATCAGGCTTGGGGCAAGTTGCTTTACTTCTCTGTGCCTCAGTTTCCTCAACTGCCAAATAGGTTTAAACAGACCATTTCACAGGATTGTTGTAAGAATTTAAATGAACTAATTATGATCTGGGATCTTTCTAGCCATGTTTGAATAGTGTCTGATGCACAGTAAGAATTACAGTATATAGGTGTTCATTAATTTAAAACTCTCTGCCATGTACTGAGCTAAAAGCTTTACTTACACTCCCATCTAATGCTCACAACAACCCTTTGAGGTGGGTATTATAATCCCTACTTTATAGATGAAGAAATGAGACTGAGAGCGCTAAAGTGGCTTACACTTGGCCAATAAGTGGTATAGCTAGAAGGCTCCAGGTTTAGGTACCTCTGACTGCAAAACTTGGGCTCTTTCCAGTGTACTTCTCTTCCTTCTTTGATGTTGTTAGTTGCTGTCATTATTAGAATGCTAATTTAACAAATCAGTATTGAGTGCTGGCTGTGTTCCAGCCCCCTGCTAGGGGTTGTCAGAGACTCTGCAGTGAAGTAGACAGACACAGTCCCTGCCCTCATGAAGCTATCACAAGTTAATTTGCAGGAAACACTGACCTGAGGTCAGGACTGTGAGCCAAAGCTTTCTGGGAAGTCTGATGGCTCTTTGAAGATGGTCATCTTCCACTTAACCTTTTGAAGCCTGTTCTTGGCCACTAATGTCCAGATGCTGGCAAGAGGAAAGCATCTTAAATAACATAGTGGGGAGGATCCCAGATCACAAGGCTGGTCCTAATGGTGGTCAGGAGGATAGCTGGAAGATTTTGGTACCCTAGGATTCTGCTGGCAGACCGGACAGACAGTTGCTGGGTGGTGATTTTCTCCTTTTGGGTACAGATGCCTTCTGGGGAGGGACTCTTTCTTGCTGGGTTGCCAGGGCTACTGGTCAGCCCTAGAGAGCTGAACTATGAGCATCAGAGAAGGTGAAGAGGAAGGTGGCTCTGAATCCACAGCCAGGGAAGCATAGGTCTTTGAAGTCCCCCTTTGCTTACTTTACAGGAGCACAAAACACAAGGAGGGAAAGGGTCCTTTTAAGGGAGCTGATAGCAGAGCTGGAAAGGGATATCAGAATGACAGCGTGCATACAAGCAAACATGGGTGTGCACTAGTTAACCAGTGTAGGCAAAGAGATGGAAATCTTTACTCCCCAAGTTCTGATTAGCCCACTCTTCCTGATCTAGAGAACTGGCCAAAGAAAGGCAGAATCTTCTTTTAATGATATAGAATATCTCATAGCATATCTGAGGAAAGGGAAAGTGGCCTCAATCCTTAGAGGTCCCCGAAAATGACTACAGAATCCAAGCCCTGTAGGATCTCCAGGCTTTGGAGGTGACCCTTGGGGCCAGAGCTAGACTGTGCTCTTCCCTTTCCATGTAGAAGTCCCTGGGTGGTGCAA